CCTTGACCTCATGGCAGTCCCCCTGCCTCAGCCTCCTGAGCACTGGGATTACAGGCAAGCACCACCATGCCTGGTCTTAACCTATTTGTCATACACATTGATCACATTCATCATAGAGAATTTGTACCTGTACATAATATATCTTACTTTTTTTCCCATTTCCCTCTCCTCCCTTAAATAGCTAAGACTTGCCACTGTTCACTTACTGTACAATTATATACTTCTAGATTAGCCCTAAAACAGTAAAAGAGCTTCTGAGGAATTTTTTTCCAATAAATGTTAAGTTAGAGATTTCAAATGGAAATTGCTTATTCTTATCTTTTGTTAGAGCATTGCCTTTGAAATCTTACATTTTACTTGTGTGAAATGTATTTATTATCTTCATTTATTCTGTTAAATTGATAACAAAGCTGTGAATGTGTCTTAATTGACCTAGCTATAAACTTGGATGAGGTCATGATTTGGATGGCGCATGGAAGTATAATCTTTCTCACTGTTTTAATGTTTAAAATAAGATGTGTTTATAGGTCTGGAAGTAAAAAATCCCATCAGGCACCATCTGTGGGTCTTGAGCAAGTTTTCCCTCACCTTCTGTAATTAAAAAAAAAAAAAAAACTCTACTGGCTGGTTAGCTGCACAGGAATAGGTTATTAAATTGGCATGTGATGATAAATGTTCTTTAGGGAATCAGTGAGTGATTTTAAATGTTCATATTTGCGTCTGGTTCACTGTACTCTAGGATGAGCTAAGGAGTGACAGTTCGGCGAACACATACTGAGTATATATTATGTACCAACAAACAAACTTGTTGGAACAGGTTAACTCATTTGGGTTAGGTTGGATAGACTTAGCAATGAAATGGATTTTAGATTCATTCTTTACTGTGTAGCCTCAGAGACAAATATTACTTAGACCTTTGTTTTATTTTCTTCACTAAATGTACCAAGCCCAGTGCTTCTTGGAGTGAGATTTAGTGTTGAACTTGAGTCTCGCTGTGTACCCTTTTTGGCATTGATCGATATGTTCAGTGTGATTTAATGTTCTCCTCACTATTTGTACTCACCTGTTAGAGGGTTGCTGTGCCAGTTCTGTTTGTAGCAAGGTGGGAAAGCATTTCTCTGTAATTGCGAATACCAGCTAATATGGTGCCCTAGAAAAATACTGCTGAGCTGTTTTTGAAATTTAGAGTGTTCTGATACTTTAGCTATAACTGTGGGATCTTTACTAATATGCCTGGGGTTAGTTCACCAACATGTATTGTGTATAATAGTTTTCTCTTTAGTATTTATTGGGGATTAGTTCTGCAAATCTGTATAGAGACCAAAATTCATAAATGCTCAAGTCATTTATATAAAATGAAAATTGCATCGTATTTCCATATAACATAAATTCTCTCATGTACTTTCCTTTTTAATTTTTTATTGTTTTGAGACAGGGTCTCATGTAATTCAGACCAGTTATGAACTCACTATGTAGCCCAGGCTGGCCTCAAAGTTATGGTGGGTGATCCTTCTGCTTCATCCTCCTGAGTGCTGGGATTACAGGTGGGCATAACCATGCCCAGCTTCTCCCATATACTTTAAATTATTTCCAGAATACTTACAGAAGTAATACAATGAAAATGTCATGCAAATAGTTGTTACGCTGTATTGTTTAGGGAATAGTGAAAAGAAAAAATTATATTTGTCCAGGGCAAGCACAAAGTTTTTTTCTAAACATTTTTATTCTGTGGTTGGTTAAATCCATGGTTGTGGAACCTATGGCTATGGAGGGCTGACTGGCATGCAGCCCTTTGTCAGTCATTGCCCTCAAGAAGTTCAGAATCCAGTAAGGGCCTGCCTGGATGTAGACAAACAATACTGCAGACTGGCATAATCCATGTATGCAGTGAAATGATGCATAGATTATAGATGATTATTTTTTTATTCAGGATGAGGCAGGAGAGTTGAGTTTTAAGAGGAG